GATTGAGTTATTTGACTATTATTGTCATTTGTAGTCTATTTGCATGTTTTAGATATTCTATCCATCTCACATTATCACCTCATGTGTATTAGGGGCCTTGATCAAAATAGTATCCAAAGACTCATTTATTTCTAAATTTGAAGTTATAATACTAAATCAACTGTGGTATGTGTACTTACTTTAGTACAACATAATCCAACTACTAAGTTGTTTTTATTATTGCTAGGGAAGTATTACTTTGTTGCATCTCCAACATCCAATATATATTTCAACTTGAATTATCTTTCATTGCACCATTTGTTAAACCTGTAAGTAAATTATCTTATGAATATTATAAATATATACATGCTCATTGTTAGAGTTAAATAACCTTGGTATATGTTATTGCTTATGCCAGACTTAGGGGAATGAAAATACTATTAAAGATAGACTCCTACAAAGTTGCCAAATAACGTGCCAACATTTGTTCAATTGTAGACATAATTTCATTTTGATTATCTCTTAAACCATGGTAAGATGTTTGCAAATTGTCATTTTCCACATGGACCTATCTAATCTTATATATTCATAAATCTTTATTTTTTATTATTTTTATATTTATTTCATCAATAAATACATAATTTTTTGTAGGAAAATTACTATATCGTTACTAGTCATATTTGCGACCTGAGAGTCATTTGGGCAGTCACCCTTACACAATACATTATCTAACTAACTATTAGTCACAACTTTTGTATCATTTCATATATATTTCAAATCCTGCAACTTCACTTCCAGTTACCCGCACTGTGAGCACCAAGGATGCTCTCTACGGGGAAAACACTTCTGATATTCAACTATACCGTCTACTCAAGGATTAAGAGACAAATAGTTATATGTATTTCTATTCATAAAAAAATAGTTATATGTATTTCTGTCCTCTTAAATAATTATACCAATTTTTTATATCTTATTTTTTCACGTTTTATTATATTCTAATCACAAGATGCATAGCCAAACATTACATGTATTTTCGAACACCTATCCTATTCATATTATATACCATATTCCCGATCTAATCTCTCCCGGCCAAAGGGTCGGGTCCGGTGCTAGTTATATTTTATAGGAAAAAATGATGATGATTGTTAACTCATACATACTCAAATCAAATAAATTGTAAAATGATTAAACGTTCCACAATTAAATAAATTGTAAAATGTTTAATAATTCTGGAGATGTGAGATATCAATCCCCTACCTTTTGCATGCTAAGTTAGCGCTTTAGCATGTAAGCTACATCCCTTGTTATGCACTATGTTCAAATTGCACAATATATTGCTTCAGTTAAAAATATGAAATGCAAGTGAATTTAAAGCCTATACTATAGGAGTGCATTATATTTATAGGGAAATTAATGACCGAATGCAATGATGGTTCGATCCCTGATCCTAAGATGTCTTTCACTAATAGATCGCGGTCCTCATGAGTTTGGTTTGGTTCGGGCCGGACAGAACCATTAGGGTGTGTTAATTGTTGTGTGGTTTATTTTCATTTGAATAACATACTTTTCTTGAAGAAAAAACCCGAGAGAGAAATAAATGGAGAGCAGAAAAAGAAATCTTGAAATTTTAATCCCTTGATCTATAGATTTTTTTATGCCTCCAAATCTGATAGCATAGGAGTTTGTAAAAGGAAACATTCACCCTCTAGGTTAAAAAAAAAATTCCACCTGGTGTGCGCAAAGTATGGACCATACTGGTGGGTTAAAAATTGAAACAAACTAATTTCTTGATGTGAGGCCTTCGATAAATCTATTTTGGACATGTTCTTCTTTTAGTACTGGGATCGGCTTCTTCACCTCTTTCTAATCGTTCAAATCTAACATATATAAAGCTAAATTTTGATAAAATCTTATACTCTCTTCAATTGAGTGATGATAAGACGTCATTTGATTTTCACTCCTAATAACAAAATACAAAAATTAAAAATAAATTTTAACATTTCATAGGTACACTTTTCTGAAATAAAATATAAAAAATGTGCACACAACACAAAATATAATAAAAAGCTAGTTTTAAAACTAAATATAATGAAAAGCTAATTTTGAACATGTTTGTGAAAAAAATATAAAAAATAGACACAACACAAAAAATACTTGGACCTCAATAGCACAATCCAAATATAAAACTAATTTCATTATTATATATAAAACTAAAATTTTAATAAAAGTAATATGGTTGAAAATGTAACACCTTAGGCGAATCCCACATCGACAAAGCACGGGAGAGATCCATGGGTCATGAGTAAGAAACCGACCTTAACTGATAAGACGCGTTTTGGGGTGAAATGAACGAGTTCTTGTGAGAACTCCGAAGTTAAACGTGCTCGATGTGGAGTACAACAAGGATGGGTGACCTTATGGGAAGTCACCTTGAATTGCACCCCAAGTCAAAAACTGTGAGGGTCGAGGCCCAAAGCGGACAGTGTCTTGTCGGGAAAATGTTCGGGATGTTACAAGTGGTATTAGAGCCTCTCAGCATCCCTCTTGAACGATGATGGGGCAAACCTCAACGAGGGCGTTGAGTCCCTAGGGGGGTGTATGTAACACTTTAGGCGATCCCACATCGACAAAGTACGGGAGAGCTCCATGATTCATAAGTAAGAAACCGACCTTAACTGAGAAGACGCGTTTTGGGGTGAAATGGACAAGTTCTTGTGAGAACTCTGAAGTTAAACATGCTCGATGTGGAGTACAACAAGAATGTGTGACCTTATGAAAAGTCACCTTGAATTGCACACCAAACTATGTGAATTGCACATCATAACTAATATGATGTGGGTAGACACGGTAAGGGAAAAACAGGATCAGTCACTTTCATAGTCTAATGGCAAGGTTGAAATAGAAAAGGAGACGAGTTCATCGACGAACAATTGATTCATGCACTTCGTTTCTATGCATCATCCAAACGCTCTCGATCACTGGTTTGCACTAGATTACAGATCTAAGTTCTTGCAAAGAAAAGTAACACTGATGGTACCAAGTTCACACCAGAGCTAGCAATGCAGAGCGATTGATGCAGAAGAAAATGACCACACCACCTTGAACCAAAACAAAACGGCACATCCAAACTTTTAGAAGATACAGAAATTTATCATTTAACTGAGGGGAGCAGAAAATGACAAATACCCTAAATTATGGTTCAGCAGTAGTGAAGGGATGAAAACTTGGTATCTAACTGTCATATCTCAAAGCAAGTCTAGACGACCACAAGGAATAAAAGCTGACAAATAGATGTTGCTCCAACAAACATATCAAGGTGGTAAGCAAAAATTTTAGGCAGCAGCACCCTTGCCCTTCTTCTTCTGCAACTTCTTCATGTAGAACTCCAGCTCTTTGCCCTCCAAGATGTATCTGTTCAGTCACAAATTGAAACGAAACTGTTAGGATGGAGAATACAGAATCATAGACATGACAGCATAACAATATTGAACACATGAGCTGGAGATTTTGGGAACTCGATACATACCCATCAGCACGGCCGCATTGACCGGGGCGTGATGAAATGCAAGCTAGTAAACGCCCACCACCGAACTGCTCCTCAATATGTGAGTCCAGCTGGCGGGTCTGCTGCCTCTTCTCCAGCTTCCTAGTCACATGGCTGCTTTTCTTCACTTCTTCAGTGACAGCTTCAGCTTCCTATCCACCAAATCAATTTAAAAAAGTAAATACAGGGGAACAGAGTTTGCAGGCTACTATGCTACATAAAAACAAAGCACTGTAAAATTATAGTTTCTCCAATCACATATATTACTACAAAAACAATCTTTACCTCTCCTTCTTTCTTGGCAGCAGCTGCTGCAGCTGGATTTTTCTTCTTGCGACCAATGTCAACTCCATAGTGCTGGAGGTACCACTGCTTAAATGGTGCAGCGTCAACCTGAACAATGGCACTCTTGACCAAGGTCTGAGTACGGACCAACTCATTGTTAGATGCATTGTACACCACATCAAGAAGTCTGGTCTTCCTGGTCACTGCCTCACTACCCCATGAGAAGTTTCCAGTATCAAGCCTCAACGCACGCCACTTTACATTCCCTCCACGAACCCTCACTCTCCTAACTGTCTTGTTGCTCGACAATTTAGTGTTAGCAGGCTGCCTACCGAGCTCATACCTGCACAGCGTTAAAGTTCCACGTGAGTAAGAACTTGCCCTCGATGGATTTTACTCCCCACTCAATAGAAACAAACAACATTGGCATAGAATGCATTCGAACCCCTCCTAAGTAACAGATTGACAATCCACAACTTCGCTACCCACAAGCCCCTTACCATATATCATCAGCTCAAAAGTCGAGGATCACTGCCTTTAGAAATGAACAAATCCATCTAAATTCGACCATCTTGTAACTTACAAATCCAATTCAACAAACTAAACCCTAATCTCATAACTCTATACTTATCCTTGCAGCAGGAAGGAGAAAAAACAGAGCCACATCACACACACACGCCAGCTGGATCAATGAAGAACGCCAGAAAATGAAATTGGAGGGGACTTACTTTCGCTTCTTCCTCCAGGACTTCTTCTTGCCACCAGTGGCACGCCTCTTGTGCATCGAATCACGAGAGATCCCTACCCATATCCAATACAAAACCAGATGACAACATCATCAGAATCAAGCTACGACAATGATTCAAAACCAGAAAAAAATCTAAGATCCTCGAGAATCGGCCACAAATGAGACATACCCATTTTCGCAGAATGAGGAGACGACGCTTTTCTGCGGACCTCCGGATACCAGCAGCCGTCGGGATACAGAAACACACAGCTTCGGCTAAAGAGAAATTGTGCCCAGGCGAAGGCTTAGCTGTTATAGTGCAAAAACCCTAGTTTCAGATTACGTCTTTGTCCTCAATGCTGAGGGTGTTTGGTTTGGGTAAAATCGTAATTTACTATACAGAACAACCGGATAAGCCCAATAATTTAGCCCAGCTAGAGAAAGGCCCGTTTACTTCATATGCGAGTTAGTTGGTCATAGCGCCGGTAACGGGATCCACCCGGCGGCAAGACGGCGAGTCGCTTTCATTCCGTTGTGAACGATGGCACCAAGGCTAGTTGAAGAGGGCAACCCAGATGAAGAAAGGGTTGGCTCTTAGTAAAGCTTCGTCTTTTGCTCATCGACAATCGACCAATGTGCTAGTTAATTCGATTTCTTTATTCCTCCTGGATACATACATGCGGTTGGTATCGACGGCTTTCCATATTCCCGAGCATTTCGGCTGGTGGGTTTTCTTGATACACTATGTTGAGGGCTGAGATGAGCTTTGCAACGGTGAGTAATTTGGGTTCCCTCATTAACTTTAAGAAATTCCATGGGAGAACTGCTGCGGCGTTTCAGTCCTCAAGTGGGAAATGGAGGTTTGGTGTGAATTTCAATTGTCGGGAGTCGCAGCCTTGCCGCCGGAGGAAAAGGTTGCTGTGCAAGAGTGAAGTTGATGATTTCGAGGAGAGGACGAGTCCGCATGAGGTGCGCCCCCACTCCTTTCTCCATGTTCAGATGTTAGATGTTCATTGCTTTTGTGATTGATTTCAATGGTTATGGTTTGTAATGTGGCTTTTGTGTTTGAGATTATGCTTCCAAGTTCATAGCTTTCCCTGGCTTCTGTTTCTGGTCCGTTTCTTATAACTCCACGGTCCCGAGAATAAGCACAGAATTTAGAGTAGGGAAGCTTGCTAGATCAAGGAGCAAGAGTTTGTTGGATATTTTAAGAGTAGATCAGTTGTTGTTCTGAGTGATTCATGATTGGGGCCATCTGATGCTTGCAAATTGTAATAGCAGCTCCGTGGAACTTTTTGGTCATTAGTCTCTAGGTCCGCTTGGTGTTTGAAGTTCTGCTATTATAAACCTTATTGTGGGAGCTTAGTGGTCAGCTTGTGTCTTATTGTTTTGAAGATCAGAAAAGAGGTAGAGCGATGTTACGATCTCATCAATCGAATTGGAAGGGGAACTGTTTATCTGGGATCATCACGAATGGGACCAGATCATCCACATTACTTGAAAGCATTTGAGCTTGGGAGACAGGCAAGTCGGCCTTTGCTGCCTATAGCTTCTACATTTAAATTTCATTTAAAGGGGGTTGAAAAGCATTTCGAGAAGAAGATCACAATGCCATTTCAATCATAAGTTCTGAGAAGAGTTGCTTGTTCTTGTTGTTGTTTCCAGATTGCTGAGCTTTTGGAGTGCACGTCATGGACAGGGGCTGGTCCAGGTCTAATGGATGCTGCTACTAAGGGCGCATTGCAAGCAGGAAAGCCTGTTGGTGGATTTAAGATCGGTAAAGAAGCTGGGGAATGGACGGCTTCAAACTTTCATCCTTACCTACCCACAGAAACCTATCTAACATGCAGGTAAAACAGCAAATTGACTTGTGTTAGTGTTGCTCTAAGCTCTCCATTGTGCCCTCATAGCAGCAATCATATATTTCCAGACAAATGGCAGGTTCTTCTCAGCCAGAAAACACGGGCTGGTAGATGCTGCAGTGAGGAACAAGGCTACTGATCGGACTGCTGTGGTTGCTCTCCCTGGTGGGATCGGTACTCTAGACGAGATGTTTGAGATATTAGCATTGATTCAGCTGGAAAGGATTGGGTCAGAGCTTCCGGTACCCTTCATCGTGATGAACTATGACTCGTTTTACAAAAAGCTGTTGGAGTTTCTAGATGATTGTGAGTACTCGGGCACTGTTTCGAGAGGTGAGGTTGCGTCGTTGTGGAAGATATGCGAGAACAACTCGGAAGCTCTAGCTTACTTGGCTGATTTCTACCATCTATCTCCCTTGGACTGACTGTGAAAGGGCATTAACCGTGTGCTCAGAAGTGCCACTTTACTTTTGAGTCATCTTTGGCTAGTCGGAAAAGTAGCTGAGACTGTAGTTAAGAAGCCCTTTACAACTATGTGCTTGGTACTGGGAAGTTTCACGAAAGATTGTTGGCATTAAGAAGTAGGATAAAAAAACCTATGAGACCCCCTGTTCTAATCTTTTTTCTACCTATTTTTTTTTTTTTTTTACTTGTAACAGAACTACAGAAGGAAGTACCTACTCGAATTCGGAATTCTGAAAAGCAAGCAGGAGATAGAACTAGCTAAGCTTTGACTGATCTATGTCTATTGTTGCCAGTCGTTTCTATCCTTGACTGATCTGACAAACAAAACATCAAAGTTTCATTTGAAAATTCATACTTCTGTTTATGTTAGAGAAAGAGCGATGCTATGAGGAGCAATCTTCCGATTCTGAAGTATTCTGTAAACGTGTTATGTCTCCTGTCGTAGTCCCTTGGTACTGTTACTAACGAGGCTCAAGAGTCGAGAGAGGCTACTCGAGAACGATGGAGGCATTTCGTAGCAAGGACGCGATGAGGGCGTCGCGAGAATAGGTGGGGGAGAATGTCACGCGTGAAGGACGACATGGCGAGTGATGGGGCGGATCATGACCAAGTCAAGCACGTGTGACATTAATGAAGACCCAGTAGCATAGGATGCTCATAGGATTCCCCATCTTGAAAATGAGTTTAATGGTGTACATAAAGAGCCACATTATGAGGTGGTATAATGGTGTGCATTATGAGGGAAACTTAGCATGGTGTGTTAATGGGGGAGAGCATTATGAGAGGTATTTACACCTTGTAAGAGAAGATGGCCTATAAAAGGAGCATCTCCTCCTTATTTGTAATCATCCATCATTTTTGTGAGCAATACAACTAGAGAGTTTCTCCCATCTTCTCGTGTGTTCTTGTGAGTGGAGTGTGTTTGAGAGCTTGTGAGAAGGCTGCCCAGCATCTCTAACGGAATTGAGAGCTAGGGCCGCACGACCAAGAGTAAGGTCGTGACAGTTGGTATCAGAGCCTGGTTCTGAAGAGAAGAATCGGTGTCCTCACTTCCCAAGAAGGAAAAGAAGAAAGAGCGAGAGCCTCACCAAAGATGGTTGGATCAGAAGTTCATGATGATGCTGAGAAGGAGAAGCAACGTGGAAGAGATTCAATAAAGCACTCCAGGCCAAAGAACGCGTCCAGCACTCGTGATCCTATGGTGGCTCTAGAGAAGCGTGTCTCTAGAGTAGAGATGAGGCTTGCTGAAGATGTCACCGTCATCGAGGATTTGGGGGATAATATAGGAACCCTGGTTCCAACGTGACGATAGGTGTTCGTTTTAGGCTCGAACAAGCCGGGAACTGAGTTCCTTTTTCTCACTATAATTCTCTGTCCTTCTTATTTCATTAAGTTATATAAAGGAGAAATCCTAAACACTTGAGATCGAGATTACAACAACTGATTTCCCGTATCTCCTGCTGATATTCAAGATTCACTTAAGGTGATCTCGTTTATTAATACGAGCCCAGTTGTGCTCGTTAGGAATCAAACGCGAGCAACTCACTCTCTCCTTCAATGAACTCGAATCTTAGCAACTTAAACGAAAAATAAAACGGACCAAAGGTGCAATCTTCATGTGGAAGAAGGCTCGACTGGTTTTGAAGCGAAGCTCGACCACGATGGATGCGTTTTCAATCGATATGAAGCAACTCGTAGCTGGAACTCAACCAACACACAAGCTTTGGGAGACAAGTCTCAATTTTCAATTCATCAACTCATACTTGTACACGAGGCTTTCAAGCCTTTAAATAGTCAACAAACTACCTAATTCTAACTCTAAACTGTCAAGGAAATCGTATTCTAAATCTAACATAACAAGGAAACAGAATCCAAACTTAAAAAGGTAACAAACTTCAATTACTTCCTGCCTAAGCTGCTGCCTTCCTGCACAAGTAACAATATCAGCCTTCATAGCATCTTTGGAGTTCTCGATCGGGGTCTTCCAGGGAGGTTCGATCCAAACAAGCTTCAGTCATTTGCTCTCCTGAACTTGTAGAACAAGTGCCAACTCCCCCTTTCCTTCGATGATGCCCCAGCTGCATTTACTAAGCCCCCAAAGTTGGTATCTCAAACCTGTTCCAGACTTAGCCAAAAACATCCAAACTTCCAGTTTCACCATAGCAACTTGCCACTCTTCGCTCAGGGTCTTAGATGCTCGAACTTGTGCAATCGACCCTTCAGAATGATAAACAAACACGAGCTCTCCACTTTCCACCCTTCCTCTCGTTTCTCCATCAACCAGAATGTACGATATAAACCTGTAAAGTAGGCACCACGAAACAATCTGAACACTTAGCCAAATTCTGTCGTTTTTCTTTCCAACATTGATAGATCTTTTGGAGCTTAATTCGAACTTCATCAAGAGGCTAAATGGGATCATATCAGGCCCCCCTTCTTTAAAAAGCTTTGCCCTCAAAGCTGGCTCACTTCTGCGAGGGAAAACGTCAACGACTGATGCCCAGAAAGGCTCGAAAAAGCCAGTCTCGACTGTCGGAAAACAGATCGCCGGCGAGTGTTCAAACCCGCCGAGGTGGTGAGTCTGGCCTGTCCACAGTGCTGAATCCTGCTTTCCTCGCGTTCCATACCCTCTTCCATCCATTCCCATGTCCGAATCACACTTATTAATGATGGATTCGCCATTTGTGCTTTTCCCGCCGTTGAAAAATTTGAATTTTCCAGAATCCGGCGAGAGGAACCCAAAATCCGGCGACCTGAATGTGAAATTGGGGAAAATCAACTCAGGCCCTTTCGAGTCGATTTATTTGCTTCTACACCATCCTTGGGACACTAGAAATCGAACCCAGGTGGTCAATTGCGCCGGATCAACACCAATCTCCACAACCGATTCTGACTTATCTTGGTCGATGTTCTGTTCTTGTCGAACCCAAATCGCCAAATTGGGCGTTTCCTCCTCGAGGCTGTTCGGCCTGTTCTGATCAGTTTTACACATTCCTGGGGTGGAAACGACCATGGTGGCGTGGGCGGATCGATTCGAATCGCTCCCCAATGCTCCACCCAATTCACCCTCTCTCTTTCCCTTCCGCGTCGAAGAAGGAAAACAGGGCACTCCGGCCGCGATCAGTCGAGGGTGAGTAGGTCTCCTCAGGGCAGTCATCATAAAACCCCCACGCACCAAACCTGTTCTTTTTCGTATCCCCCCGATTTCTCCTTCTTCTCGAGCTCGCATCGACGCCATTTGTTGCTGATCGGAGCGAACTTCTGACGGTGACAATGGTTTGAGCACAATCCACTTCCCATTGTACTTAAATCGGTAGCAATTTGTCCCGCCGTCATGTGTGACTGCACGGTCATATTGCCAGGGTCTGCCAAGCAAGAGGTGTGCTGCTTGCATTGGTACAACATCGCACACCATCTCGTCCTTGTAGCCTCCAATTTCAAAAGCAACGGGAGCTCGTTTGGTGACCTTGAGAGCTCCGTAATCGTTCAACCAGTGCAGGCTGTATGGCTCGGGATGCTTAATTGTCTCGAGGCCTAATTTCTTGACGGCGTCGAGACTAATTACATTCGTACAGCTGCCCCCATCAACGACCACGGACAAGCACTTGCCGTTGACGAGACATCGTGTATGAAACAAGTTCGTTCATTGGTCGTGATCAGTCTCGCCTTCCGCTGCCAACACTCGCAAATTCATTCTCGAAAGAAAGGGTCCTTGCTCAGCTTCCATCTCTTCACCAACTTCCTCCGACGAGTCATTCTTCGCGCCTGGACTTTGCGTCTCATCGTCAGAAACATACTCACCGTCTCGCAGGATCATTGTTTTGAGGTTGGGGCATTGGTTTGCCTTGTGGCCTCGCCCATGGCACTTAAAGCATTGGATCGAGCTACTGGATGGACCAACCCGCTCCTGCTGTGCTGGCGTCGAATTTCTTGGAACAGACTTGACTGGTACCGCTCTACTCGTCTCAGCCATACCCTCTGCCTCCACCTTAGGATTCGAAAACCTTCTTCCCGCGAGTGCCTTTTATTGTTTTTCGATCTTGACGGCCAAGTGTACCGCCTCTTCTAGCTCAAAAAAGGACCTAAGCTCGATTTCGTTCCGAATTTCGCGGTTGAGTCCATGAAGAAATCGCGCGACAGTGGCCTCCCTGTCCTCTCGGACGTCGGCCCTCATCATCAACAGCTCCAATTCTCGAAAGTATTCCTCCACTGCACGCGATCCCTGTCGAATCCCCTACAATGACTCGTGTAATTCTCTTTGGTAGTAGCTTGGAACGAACCGCTCCCTGAGGAGTCCTCGCAGCTCAGTCCACGTCACCACTGGAGCTTGTAAGTTTCGTCGGCGACGAAGTTGAAGCTGCTCCCACCATTGCCCCGCATAATCCGAGAATTCGTAGGTCGTCATTGTGACCTTTTGTTGTTCGGTGAACTGTCCACATTGGAAGAAGAGGATTATTTTCCTCTCCCAATACAAATACGCCGCTGGGTTCAAAGTTTCCTGAAATGGAGGAACGGCCAGCTTAATCCCGGGTGGAATCGCCGGCTGCTCTGCTTCGCGCCGATCTCGATGAGGTCGGTCGTGTAGGGGTTCTGCGACGACAAGGCGCCTCTCCAGTTCTTCAACTCTATTCACTAAAGCTTGTTCGGCGGCTGGATCAACGTCACCGTGAGCCTCCCCTACGACTCTGTTTGCTGGTGGCGCGAGTGCGTCAAATCGTTGATCGATGTCGCGACGAAATTGGCCCAATTGCGCCTGGAACCTAGCATCAATCTGGTCCAGGAACTCATTCATATTAAACTGCGGGATGGCCATGGCTGAATTTTTGTTTTGAAACTCGCTGTCACTCTCGTTGCTTTCCCCTGTTTTCTTCTGTCGAATAGCAGGGTCGTTTGAAACTGGCCCCTTCGACCTCGTCCACAGCGTTGTTGCTGCAATGTCGCCCTTCGTTCTATCCACTGTGTTGAACACAGGCTCTGATGCCACTTAATACGAGACCAGTTGTGCTTGTTAGGAATCAAACGCGAGCAACTCACTCTCTCCTTCAATGAACTCGAATCTTAGCAACTTAAACAAAAAATAAAATGGACCAAAGGTGCAATCTTCACGTGGAAGAAGGCTCGATTGGTTTTGAAGCGAAGCTCGACCACGATTGATGCGTTTTCAATCGATACGAAGCAACGCGTAGCTGGAACTCAACCAACACACAAGCTTTGGGAGACAAGTCTCAATTTTCAATTCATCAACTCATGCTTGTACACGAGGCTTTCAAGCCTTTAAATAGTCAACAAACTACCTAATTCTAACTCTAAACTATCAAGGAAATCGTATTCTAAATCTAACATAACAAGGGAACAGAATCCAAACTTAAA